CTTCAGTTTCCATCTGTCACCCTGGGGTTGAGCCTCTAACCTGCCCTGCCCTCCCCCGCCCCTCCCCTCTGGTAGCCACCACACTGACCTCTGCATCTCTGGTTTGCCTGCTTGTGTTTTAGATTCCACGTGAGTGAAATCACACTGTCTGACTTATTCCAGCACTACTACACCCTCCAGGCCCTTCCACGTTGTCACAAATCCGAAGTGGGGTGCACTGGGGTCTAGGAGACACACCCCCTGGCTCACAGAGAAGCTGGCACTAAAAGCAGCAGGCCAGCCCTGCCCCTCTGGGCCACCCAGGGGGGCACTGCACCGGCCACCAGGCCCTAAGTCCCAGGGAAGGGTCAGGGCTGGGGATTGGCCAACACTGACCCCCGAGGGAGGCCAGCAGGTTGGGCAGGTCTGGGAAGGGAATGGAAGGGTCAGAGGCATCTGCCCCCAGGGTGGATGCAACCCCCCCCCCATGGCTCCCACTGTCACTATGACACGGTGGTGTCCTCCAAATCCAGGTCCAGGCCCCTGCTGCCCAAGCCCCTCTGACCCTATAGGGTGCTGGCTGCTTCCCCGAGGCTAAGCCTGGTCACACAAGAGACGGGAGCCAGGTCCCACTCCCTGAGGGCTCTTGGGGTACTCTGCAGGCCCAGTGATGGCCCGAGGTGCCACTGTCCCCACGGAAGGGCACAGGAAGGAGGCTGGAGGGGGACATGGCCAGGGCTCTAGCGTGGGCCTGGGAGGGAGGGGGCGTGGACCCCAGCAGTCCCATGGAGGGGGGCACCTGAAGGGTCCAACTGCCTCCCCTGGGGCTGCTGGAACGTCCAGCGTTAAGGACCTAGGTCTTGTATTAGGCACGGACTCTGGAAACTACAAAAAGAGCTTCTTTCAATCACTCTCGCTTTGGCCGGTGGTGCCCCTGATGTGGCAGTGGGGGGAGCCCACACTCCGTGGCCCCCGAGAGGAGCTGTTCAGAGCCATGAGGCCCAGGGGCCAGGCAAGACACAGGGGCGCGGCAGCCAGGGGAGCTGGGGGCCCGGGGCAAACGCTGAGCTAACTGGACTCAAGAAAAGCTGGAAACACGTTTACAGGTGAATCTCCTAAACTTTAAATGCTGGCTACTCCAACTAAACAACGTACGCTACCGGGCCAAACCCTGGTGTGGACCACGTGAGGAAGCCAGCACCTCTGACCCCCTGGGCTCTGCACACCTGCCCAAGCCCCAGGGACGGTCCCCCTGTGGGACCTGTGTCCTTTCCCTAAACTCACTCAGGCCTGGGGGCCCCCGCCCCTCCCGCTGGTACTGCTGGCGGCGGGGACAGCCCACGAAAACACCAAGACCATCTGGAAGGAATGCAGGAGTCCACAACCGCAGCCTGTGAGGGCCCTTCTGGGGACCAAGTTTCAGGGAAAGGAGAAGCCTCACCCCCAGAAAGCCCTGCGGACCACAGCCACCCCGGGACTCCCCACAGGCCAGGCCCACTCCTGGGGAAGGCCTGGGGGCAGCAGGGTCACTGTTGTTAACACGACTGCTCTCTGGAACACAGACCCCGTCTCCCCAACTTAGCACAACCATGGGGAACTGACCGCTGGGGTCTCCTCGAAAGCACCGCACCGCGCTGCTGCTCCAGACAAAACACAGGCCCTCACACGAAGTGAGGTGAAAACTTAAGTTTCAGCAACATATTCCCCTCTCCAGTTAGAGCTCTTCAGGGCTATGTTTCAAAGGGCACAAAAACAAGTCAACCTGTGTGGAAGACCTCTGGCAGGATGTGCACCCAAGCTGATAAGCCACGGCCGCCCTGGAGGGCCCCGAAGGACCCTGGAGGACCGCGGAAGGCCCTGGCGGGCCCTGGAGGACCGTGGTGGAGCCTGGAGGGCCCTGGAGGTCCAGGCACAAATTGCATCCACGCATGGACGTCTGCACGCACCGTATTAAGTAGCGCAGCACACAGGTGATTAAAGGCGCGTTTAGCACTTAAACCCTTACCGGCGTCTGGGCAACACAGGCACCGAGTACATCCAGGAAATGCACTAAATAAACAACAAAACAAAAGGAAACGTGCTGACTTCTTACGGGAATAGCGACACAGAGAAAACACAACTACATGAAGGAAGCATCCAGCCCCGTGACTCTGGGCAAGAGACACAGAGCAGAAACGGCATGACCTTGATTTGGAAAGGTTTCCACAGGCTCAGTTCAGGCAGAGAACCCTCTGCTTTGAAGAAGGACAGGCTCGGGTCCTTCAGGCCAGGAGGCCCATCAGCCCTTGTCCACAAGCAGGGCGCCTGGACCCCTGGCGGGCCTCGTGCTCTGGCCACCGGCCCTGCCCTGACCCCGAGACAGGCAGTGTCACCGGTCACACCCCAGCCAGAACCAGAGACTGAAAACCCACAACCCTGCCCCTATAGGAGGACCCCGGGGAGCCCAGGGGGTCCTGCAACTTCAAGGCACTGGAAGTGCCAGCAGAACGTGCAGGGGGACCCCCCTCTCCCTTTGTGATCCCTTGAAGCGAGGCTGGCACCGACCACTGGTGCCACAGACTGGACTTCAGTCTCCAGTTCCTTCGTTGAGGACTGGCCAGGAATGCAGATGAAAATGGGACACACTGGAAGGACGGTCACCGTGGGACCGCTGCCACCACGGGAAGACCCCTTGCCTCGTACCTCCCCAGCCACTTCCGTGATGGGGACAGGCCTGCCCTGCCCCTGCCGGTGACACTACGGGGGTGGGGGGCTGGGGCCAAGACTCAGGGAGTAGCACCACAGCCTCGGTCCCTGGCCTGTGGGCACGGGGCCATCAGGAGACACTGACAGGGCAGGCGTCCTGCAACGCTCCATCGACCGGGCACAAGTGGCCCCCCGTCCCCACTGCCTTGTGAGGGTGTCCCAGGTTACAAACGGGCCTCTCTTCCAACCACCTTTTTCCTTCCCTCCAGTCTCAGGGAGCAAAGTCTTCCTCTATGAACCAAGGCTGACCCGGGAGGGTGGGGCAGGCCCGGCACAGGCCCGGAAGGGCACAGAGGAGCCCGTCTACTAGATGGGTCGGTTCTCCTTCTCTGGGGTCCTCCTGCACCCCGACCACGTGTTTGGCTTTCAGGTGAGGCTTTCTCGAGTTGTGTGTGCATTTGGAGGTGGGCGGTCCTGAGGATCCCTCTGTCCCAGTGTGGTTCCCCCCAGGGCCTCTCAGGCCCCACTCTGAGAGGGGCACCTAGACCACGACGACCTCCCCGACCTCCCGCATGGGCTCCCACTGGCCTGGCTCGGACCCTCTAATCAGCTCCTGCCCAGGGCTCTGAACTGGATTCGCCCGGAGGCCCCAACACACAGGAAGGGGTGGGGGTCTGGCTCTCCACTCTGGGGGTCACGGGTCTGTGGGGGAGCCAAGGAAGGAAAGGTCAGCTGGGGTGGCCTGAGACGGACCATGTTTGGGGGGCCCCTGCTGCCTCGTGCTCACAGGTTACACTACACAGCTGCGGGGAACAGTGTAGCCCGGGAGGGGGTCTCCTGCCTGCAGACCCTCTGGTCCCCCACCAGCTCAGGAGGAGAAGCGCGGGGAGCCAGGCAGTTCTGAGCCCCGTGCTGCCGGGGCTCCGTGCAGGGGCCGTTCTCTCCGCCTCCGAGCTCAGGCCCAGAGCCAGGTCCTGCTCAGCTGGGAGGCGGGGGGGGGGGGGGGGGGGGGACGACTGACAGCGGGATCTCTGATCCTGATGCCAGCAGAGCTGGGGGAGCCCCAGGGGCGTGGGCTCAGAGGGGCCAACACGGTGGGGAGAGGGCAGTGCCCGTCACCCACGTGTTCCTCAGAAGCCTCCTACTTCAAAGAGCATCGAACTCAGTGTCGGGGTCCAGCTTCCCTTCTATCACCCGGCAAGTGCCATTGGGCAGTGGTGGCCGCGAACGTGCTTTGATGAGGAGCCTGCACTTGGCTGGAGCCAGCAGTGCAGGGACCACCCCCCGGGTGGAACTTCCCGGCCGGGGTCGGGGGGGGCTGCTCCTTGCTGACCACTGACACACGGGGACAGGGTCATCGGCCAGCCTGCTGACAGCGGAGGCCGGGGTGGGGCCCCTAACCCACCCACTCCGTCCAGGCGAAACCCATCAACCACAGAATTAGGGGACTAGAAAGGTGTGCGTTAAAAATCCTTGCCAATGAAACATAAGCCTGAACCAGGGATGAGCTGTAAGGCGTGACCTGACCCCAGTGTGAGGGCTGGGTTTAGGGTCAAAGTGACCCTGAGGTGGCGGGGGCAGGGGCCCGGGCAGCACAAGCAGTCAAGTCACTCGGCTCAGCTGTCTGTCCACAGGCCAGACAGCGTCCCCAAGGGCACGGCAACTCTCCAGAGGTGGTCAGAGCGCAGGTCCCCGCCAGGCACCCCCCCGCCAGAGTGATCCTTAACCACAGGTCTCTGTCCAAACACCGCTGAGGCCAGAAGCACCGGCTTCTCTCCTGGAAGTCCCATGGAGCCGGATGAACCTTGAAGCGACGGGAGCTCAGGGGTGGAAGGGAGGGCACCTAAGAGGAAACTGGTCCCAGACTTGGCGCCTCCCCAGGCCACACAGCCCCTTCTTCCTTCCGCTTCTGAAGCCAGGCATCCGCGGGCAGGACGCCCAGTCCCCGCCTGCAGCTCCTTTGAGACACTGCTTCAGCTTGAAAACTAAACCTTAATCAGGAGCATTATTGCAATTATTAAAAGTCAAAAGGGAAACTCATGGTAGCCAATCAATTCCTTTTTCCTTTCCTGAAAATGATGAAGAACAAAAGAGGGAGTGTTTCCTATAATATTTAAATAAAACTTTGTGTTTTGAAATAACTAGATGCAACTTGAAGGGCAACACAGACGCCATGAGCCTTCCCCCCCGCCCCCAGCTTCCCTGCAGAACAAGAGCAGAAACACACAGGAGACACTAAGATTTCAGTTACAAATTGTTAGATTCTTTGAACGCTCATTCCCCCAACCTGTGAGTGATGCTGAGTTTCCTCTAATTCAGAAATAGAAACAGTGATATGTACCCTCTTCATTTTATTTGCAGTACTCTGATTAAAACTAGACCAATTCCAGGGAGTTCCCTGGTGGCCTAGCGGTTAGGATTCCGGGCTTTCATTGCTGCGGCCTGGGTTCAATCCCCGGTCAGGGGACTGAGATCCCACAAGTCTCGCAGCTCCGCCAAAAAAAACCAACCCAATTCCAAACAACTTCAGAAAGCATGCACACAACGCAGGACGCTGCTCTGATCAACCCAGCGAGCGGCTGGGCCACGCAAGCAGGGACGCTGCGAGCGCTGTGGGCCGTGGGTGACGGGCCCGGTGCCCTGCAGAGCTGCCGCTGCTGCTGCCGGTGCCGGTGCTGAGGCAGACACGGGCTCTGGCCTCAAGGAGCGCACGGCCGGAGGTAAGTGAGCTCCTGGAGGACAGGGACAGCGGCTGCCCCGGGCTGAGCGGCCGTTCAGAGCAGGGCACAGCTCCTCCATCCAGATGCTGCAGACACCAGATGTTTTCAAATGCCTGAACCAGGATACACAAGCACAGGGGCCCACGCTGAAACACATACCAGTTCACAAAATACAGCCTCCGCGCTTCATTACCGCACCCAGGGCAGATCCACGTGAGGTGACACTGTGAGAAGTCCCCGTACAGTACATGAAAGCCTGGCCCCGCCCCCCGCCCCCCAGGGCCACTGTGATCTGCTGTCAACACGCACAGCACAAGGAAACGCTCAACCCCAGTGGGTCCCAGAATCAGTGAAATGGAGCCCTCCCAAGAATCCTGCCCAGCGCCGCCCCGTCTGCAGCCCTGGGCTCTACCACCACAGCACCTGGGAGGAAGGGCGTCATTTCCCTGGCCCACGTCTCTCCCCTTCCCAGCCCATCAACCCCTGGTCCCCTTCCACGTGGGTCTTGGACGTTATCGAAACCGTCAGACCCTCTTGGCCAGAAACACACGCGGATCCCGCTGGAGCCCAGCTCCTGGGTTACAGAGGAAGAGGTGAGGGTTTCAAGGGGTGGGGGGGTCGCCACAGCCACGGCCCAGGCGGGGGGCTGTGCCACCGAGGGACGTGGCCCTTGCAGACAGGCCAGGGCTCTGGGAAAGGTCTTCCACATCAACCGTTTCCAAGCCTGTGGCCTTGGCTGCCGGCAGGACCTGCCCCCACCTGGGCTGGAGACACTGGCCCTTGTCAGAGACCAGCTTCAGAACAAAAAACTCTGAGCACGGCTGCACGCTCAGCGGGCCGGGGGCATCGGCGACCAGAAGACTTAACTTCCATTCTGCTTCTCTTGTAACCCAAGGATTCAAATGAACGTGTGTTACGTGCCACCGGGCACTTGAAAAGCCAGAAGACACACGAAACACAGATCGGGGTGCCAAAGCCAGGGAGTAGATGACCACCCAGAGCCTCATCCTGAATGACGGCAGGACTCCTGGCTCTCCCGAGGCTGTGCTGTGATGACCAGCCTATAAAACTCTCTCAAGGTCCCCCAGAGCCTCAGCCTGGATGACGGCAGGACTCCTGGCTCTCCCAAGGCCGTGCTGTGATCAACTTCTCATCTCCTCTGGACGGGGGTCCCGGTCAGCAAGGACACCCTCTCTGCAAGGCCCCCACCTGCAAGACGGGGGGGGGGGGGGGGGGGGGGGGGCGGGCAGGACGCCCTCTGGCCTGTAGACAGCAGGAGGCCTGGTTTAACTGCCCTGAGACAGGAACCGTGTTTACAGAGATCAGATTCGTTTCTGGGAGCAGAAAGTCCTGAGACATTTACTCATTTTACCTTTTCACAGGCTGTCCATCCGTTCCTGCCCTTGGATGGACAATGGAGCAAAGCCAGGCTACAGCTTCGGGGGAGAGCCAGGATGGGGGAGATCCCTCGGCTCCCTTCAGAGGCTGCGGTCTAGGGAGGAGCCGGGGGAAGAGGCCGCAGGGACACGTGGTCAAAGGAGAGCCAAAGCCAGTAGATGCACGGGCAGGTCAGCACCGGCACGCGAGGCCCAGGGCCTGGACGCGGGAACCTGATGCACCCAGCACCTCCCCCACCAGGCACCGTGTCCGACAAGCCCGGGCCTGGGGCCTCGGGGGACACAGGCTGATCTGTGGCCGAGCTGCCGCAGGCCTGTGGGGGAAGGGTGAGGAGCACCCGGCTCAGGTATAACACGGGCACCACAGGCTGGGGGCAGGGTGGTCACGTGCTGCTGAGGTGCGGCACGGGGACCTCAGGGCCACTGAGGTCTTAGCTGAGACCCCAGGCCCCACGGCAGAGGGGGCAGGAGAACAGAGAAGATGCAGCACATTCCATCAGGGAGAGCTCCAGCCCAGCAGGAACGAAGCTGGTAGGAGGGCCACACGATCTACCCCTCCCCTGGTACCACTTCCATTTCCAGAGCAGCTACCCGGCTTCCCCATGAGCCCCGGGGCGGGGGTGGGCTGAGGAGGTCCACCGATTCTTCTTACCAGGCATTTATGGGGGGTGGCTTTCGTTGGCTGACTTTTAGCAGGAACCTGGCTCCTACACACCCAGTCTTTAAGGCCTCCTGAGGACAGGAAGAGACCGTCACCCACCCCCACTGCCCACTGGAGACCTTCATTCACAGCCCCAAGGTCTCCCACCAGCAGGCCCAGGACAGTGGCCCAGGGCCAGGACCCCACACCCCCTCCTAGCTGCAGACGGCACAGGCCTTCCTGGCCCCCAGATCCCAAGGGCCACCGGCTCTCACTGCTTCCCAGAATCTCGGCTAAGCTTTTGGGTTGATCTCGCCCATATGCAGGGAGCAAACAGGCCCTGGCTGGCTGGCCTCTGCAGGAGCTCTGATGTCCACACGCAGGACCGGCCCGTGGGCCCTCCTTGGTTCTAGGCAGGAGAATGATGTACAACCCTCCCCATCACTTTCGCTGCTGAGAGGCCAACACAGCTTGGGGCCCAGCTGCACTCTGCACGGTCAACAGCCTAACGTGGACTGTCCCGTTATCGGAAGGCAAAGGTCACACAGGTCGGCTTCGTGTATTCAGAGAAGCTGCCCCCGGCTCTGCAGGCCCCGGCCACACCCACCTCCTCCCTACAAGCAGCTGCTTTCCTTCCATCTTTGGAAACGTGTGACTGACCAGGAGTTCAGGCTGCATCTTGTGTGTAACCTGGAAATGCAGTTCCGGGAGATGGACAGCCAGCGTGGGCAGAGCTGAGCGGAACATCAAGCGAACGAGCTGCGAGTCTAGACATAACGTTTAACACACAGAGAGCGTAACTTCCAGCAACTTCTGAAAGACTAGCAGACAGTCGTTCCTAATCTGACAGTACTGATCTTGCCATTTTAATGAAAATCATATTCTGAACGCATGAAAAGCATACCACAAGACCACACAGACCTCTCTCTCCCCCATACTCGAGGTGGGCCTGGGGCGCCAGGCTTCCCACAGCGTCCGACGCTGCTTCCCTCAAAGCAAAAACAATCCCACTTTTGCTCAAGATTTTCAATTACGTTTTCACCCCGTGTCAACCCAGCAGACTCTGGACTGTCTTCCCCAGCGGCTTCTGCGCCTTGCGTCCTTGGAAGAGAAAACTGCACGACCGGGCACACAGTGGATATACCCGTTTGGGGCCGCGTCCTAACCCACCTCCACCGCGGGCCTTACAGGGGCCCAGCTGCCCTCCAGCCCCACAGGCACCAGGCTGCAGGCTCTTCAGTCAACAAAACAAAACATGTTAGTGGCTCCAAAAGAAGGAAACAGGAAAATCCAAAGGCTTCGTTAAACGTGCATGTAGCACCTCACGATGTCAGCTCCATCCGCTGTGCTCCATCCGCTGTTAAGTGTAACTTCCAAAGTCATTTCATCACACGAGGAAAATACCCCCCACACTTTGTAAGAATTCCTGAGTGTAACAATGAATTAAAAAACTAAACACTCACATTGCCAAGCAAAGAGCTACGCATACCCAGATAATTTCACAAGCAAAATGGTAGATGCCCTGGTGGGTTCCGCCCCCAAGCCCTGACACTCAATGCGCTCTGTGGCGGTGGACCTTGCAGGGCTAAGGCCTCCGGCTATAAAGGCCCCGAAGGCGGGTCGCCAACGGTGATGACAGCCCAGCCTGGGGGAGGGGACAGCGACGTGATCCAGACCACTCCCCGCTCTTACAGAGAGAAGGTGGGGCCGGCAGAGCCCAGGGGACTGGCGTGGGTCCCGGGATGGAAGAAGCAGCCCACGGTCGGCGGGCACCCAAGGCCTCGCCCGGGGAGAGGGAGGCGCGGCGCGTCGAGTCGCGTCTCAGAGCCCCGGCCCCACGCAGCCTGTCCGCGGTTCAGGACCCCGGGCCCGGAAGGCGGGGCGCTCCGGACCCTCTCGTCTGGAAGCGTGACTAAGCGGGCCGGGCCCCTCCTCCTCCCCGCCCCCACCCCGGTTTCGGGTCTCCAGGGCGCCGCCGAGCCCCCGCCCCGCCCTGCAGGACGGACCCCCGCGCCCCCCAGCCCCCACGGCCCGCTCCCAGCCCGGCGCACTGACCTCCGCGTCCCAGGCCGCCAGGTGTGCCCGGGAGCGCGGCACCTCCCGGCCGCCGCAGCCCCCGCGCACTGCGCATGTCAGGCCGGCTGGGCTCGGCTGGAACCGGATCCAGCCGGCTGGGCGGTGACGCAAGCACGCGGCTGGGCGTGTGGGCGGGACTCCGGGAGGGGCGGGGTCAGGAGGTGGGCGGGGTCGCCCCTGCACGGGGGTTGGGGGGCGAGGACCACCCCTCCCCTCTAGGCCGAGTGGGCGGCGGCTGCTGCGCGGCCCCGGGCCGGGGAGGGAGAGGGGAGAGGAGGGACCTCCGGGCCAGGGGAAGGCCCAGCCCAGGGCACCGGGCACTTTCCCGGCCCACAGCTCGGCCGCCGAGTGGCAGACGCTGAGCCCCCGCCCAAGGTTCTGCCTGTGGCTCTCCTCACGGCGCGGTGGCCCGGGCTCCCTGGCAGGTCCCCACAGGGGAGGCAGGAAAACCACGCGGTGCAGTTAACACGGACGCGTCTACCGACCACCGGCTCGGTCCCCACCCCCCATCTCCACCCCCTGCAGCCGGGTAACCTGGCCTGCTGTCTCCTCCCAGGGCGTCTGCGCATGCGCTTCCCCTGACTGGAGCGCTCACTTCCAGCGCCTGTCAACCCTCAGCTTCGGGGAAGCCTTCTCTGCCTCATCCGCTGAACCCGCTGTGCAGAGCCCCTGGAGCTCCACCCCCCCAAACTGAGCTCCACAAGCGTAAGGCCGGGTCTGCCCACCGCAGACCCACCCAGCAAAAAGCAGGTGCTCAATAAAGGCTCACGGAGTAAATGAATGAAGGTGTCCTTCTCCTAAGACAATACTGCAAATCAATTTTTATAGTCCGAGGAAAACCACGCTCCCGCAGCCGGAGCCTGCTGAACCCGCCCAAGGCCTGCAGCAGGCTCTGGAGGCGGGGCTGGTTTCGGGGGCGGGGGGCTGCTCCGGCATCCTGGCGTGAGGACACGCTGTCCCCTGGGTCCTGAGGCCGTGCGCTGGCCGGCGGGTGTGGGTGTCCCAGCTTCCCAGCCCGATGAGGACCTCCCAAGGTCCCAGAGCCAAGACTGCACCTTTCTGTGCGTTTCCTCTTGGCCGTTTCCCCAGCACCCAAGGCTGGTCCACACACAGAGGCTCCTCAGGAGTGCTGCTAGGGACAGGGACAGGGACAGGCACGAGGCGGGGGCGGGGGCCAGAGCTGGGTGGGGGAGGAGAGTGGAGGGCAGGGCAGGGACTCGCTGGCCCACCAGCACAGTCGCACCTCTGTGACCCTGTTTAAGCCCTGGGGACGCTGGCGTCGGCATTCTCACTTTACAGATAAGGAAACCGAGACTCAGAAATGCTAACACAAACAGTTTCAAGATTCGAAGCCACGACGAGCCAGTCTCATGGAATGGACTTCACTTGGGGTCTTCCGAGTCACAGAGGATCTGCGTGCTGATTTCCCAGTGCATTTCCTGTGCCAGCCCTGCAACCCAAGAACCCCCAATCTGGTTTCTTCACGGTACTATTCTGGTGACTCTAATGGGCCACCGTGGGAGGCTGGACAAAGGAGAGAGCAGGAGGGGAAGAGCTGGCCTGGGGCAGGGTGAGAGGCGGACACCGCAGAGGGAGCTTCGTGCCCGTTTGTCTCACGCTCCCAGCCGCCCTGTTACCTATGCTGTGCAGACGAGGTAAAGGGTGTGAAATGGGCCAGGTCTGCCGCTCCCGACCCAGCTCCTTCCCAGGCCCTTCTCTGCCCAGGGACCCGCCTGCAGGACACGCTCTGTCCCGCAAGCCCTCACACAGAGGCAGGTGAGGCTCACCCCCAGAAGGTGCTGCTGGGCTGTGCTACCCCCTGGTTGTCTGTCCCTGGCCTGTGTCAGACAGCAGCAGGCACAGGGCCACTCAGTGCACCCTGGGGCTACCTGTAGGGACCCCAAGAGAAAAGGCGCTTGGTCCAGCCCCGAGGCCTTCGTGGCCAGAGTCCAGCGGTGGAGCGGGACGGTGTGGCTGAGAGGCCTGCCTGCCGTGTGGCCCCGGCTGCAGCACACTGGGTCTACCCCTGAGGGGCCACAGAGGCCCTAGAACCCCATGCAACTTGGCCCAGCAGCTCCTGGCCAGGAAGCGTGGCTACATAACAGACCTGGATGCATTCCACATACATTTGTTAAGCAACATCTTCACATGAGATGTTCTTCTAAGTGCTAAGCTTACTGCGGGGAACGCCTGCTACCACAAACCATGTTCCAGTGCCCCCACAACTCATATATCATAATGCTACTGCCCACCCCGCGATGGCACTAGGAGGTGGGGCCTTTGGGAGGTAAGTAGATCCCGAGGATGGGGGCCTCGTGAAGGGGATCAGTACCTTCATAAGAGAGGGCACTGGCTGTCACTAAGAGAGCTAGCTCCTCACCCCTCCACCACGTGAGGACACAGCAAGGAGATCGGGGAAGAGAACCCACTGGACACCAAAACGGCCAGTGCCTTGGTCTTGGGCTTCCGGCCTCCAGAGCCGTGAGAAAGGCATTGGTTCCTTATAAGCCACCCAGCCTACGGCATTTTGTGATAGCAGCCTGAACTAAGACCCCCCCCCGCCATAGTTAGACTGCCCTGAAAGGCTATAACACTAAGGAGGAAAATTAGGGACAACAGAGAGTCGGTTGACTTACATTTTGTCATTTAAAATGGCTGGAGGAGGACGGAGGTCAAGGAGACAGCGTCAGGACAGTGACACCTGAGACCCAGAGGTGAGGGCACAGCCGTGGATATTTGGGAGAGAGGTGGTCCAGGCAAAGGGAGCAGGCAGCCACATCCCGGGGAGGGGGCACAGAGGCCCACGTGAAGCAGAGGAGAAGCCAGGATGGCTGGGGGTGTGGGGGGCAGAGTGGAACAACTCTGCCGAGCTGGTGTTCCAGAAGCATGGAATTGCCACCATACCCTCCCCCGAGGCAGTAAGAACAAGCTCTCGAAACCAGCACCCCAAGATCATGGGGATCATTCTGAGTCATTCAGCAAAGAATAAATATGTCCCACGCAGACATTATTAGCCGGAACGTCCAGCTGATCAGCAAGCCCAGTGTTCCCGGGCTTGGCACCTCCTGAGAACCAACCACTGGTGAAATCACAGGAAATGCTGCAGGGGGTTTGGAACACCTGCCTGGATGCCCACATCTGCTCGCAGCCCCCAGAGCTCCCGCACAAACCCCTTCCCTCACACGTGGCCCCGCCAGCGGGTCAGGCCCTGCTTGGAAGCATTTGGCGGGTGGAAATCGTGAGTGCGCGTGTGAGTATGGGGGGAGCCCCAGCCCCAGCGGAGCAGGGTCCGCCGTCGGCCACAACAAGAGGAAGCAAAGTGCTGCTCAAGGTCTTGGTGCAGCCGGCCCGCCAGCCCCTCCAGGGACGGCCATCGCAGGGCCTGGCTGTCACTAAAGCTATCGCAGGCCTGACTCCAGAACCTTGTGTCCAAGCCCAGATGGTTTCGCTGGAATTCTATTAAACACTTAAAGAGGAATTAACACCAATTTTATATAAGCTCTTCCAGAAAACAGAAGCAAAGGAACCATTTCCCAGTTTGCTCTGGGAGGCCAGTGTTACCTTGCCACCAAAGCCAGACAAAAATAGTACCAAAGGAAAAAGAATGAAAAAGAAAGTAAAATATAGACCAAAATCTCTCATAGATGTAAATGCAAAAATCCTACTCAGCAACATATTAAAAAAAATTATACGCCATGACCAAGCAGAATTTATTCCACAGACGCAAGGCTGGTTCAGTTTTCAAGAATCAATCTAATAAACCCCTCATATCAACGGGCTGAAGAATAAATACCACATGATCATATTAACTGATGCAGAAAAAGCGTGTGACAGAATTCAAAACTCATTTGTGATACACATTCTCAGAAAACTAATAATAGAGGAGAGCTTCCTCAACTTGGTATGTAACATGTAAAACTGCCCCTCCCCCCACCAGATTGGGAAAAAGGTGAGGAGACCCACCCTCACCACTGCTATTCAACACAGCACTACATGTTCCAGCCAGGGCAAGAAAGCAAGAAAGTGCAAGCGAAGGCACTCGGGTTGGAAAGGAAGAAATACAACTGTCTGTATTTACAGATGGCATGACGGTCAACATAGAAGAGCCCAAGGAATCAACACACTTTTCCCCTGTGTGTGTCTTACTACTGCAGCACGGTTTGTTGAAAAGACTCTCCACTGAATTACTTTTACGCCTCTGCCGAAAATCAAGGTGCGGATGTGGGACAGTTTCTGGGGTCTCTATTCAGATCTGTGTCTCTCCCTCCATTAATACCACACTGTTTGTTTTTGCTTACCATTAATAAACAGAGATTTATTTGGAAATTTCTAAACCTGCCATAAGTGGCACTTGCCAAGCCCTAGGCCCACCCTCCTTACCAAGCTCCAAGGAGCAACAGTCCTTCCCACCTCTCCCCTTCACCTCCCCCTGCCTTCCACCAAGCATGCCCACCCACACCTCAGGCCACGGCAGAGAACTAGAGTGCAGTCTCCCTCTAGGAGGCATTACCCCTGGGCCCAAGAGCCTGGGTGGCAGCCCTCCGGCATCCCAGGAGATGATGGCGGCCAGAGGTGCTTGCATAGGGTTAGGAAAGAGAATAAGGAAGGAGGCACCTGAAAAACCCCAACTTACCCCTGAACAAAAGCTCCTGCATGGAAAAACCTGCTCCATGAAGAGTGCAAATGCCCAAAGGGTACGGAAAACCAGCAGCAAGGCTGGGCTGGTAGGAATGGCACCACACTGCCATGTTAAATTTCAGTTTCAGCGTTCATGGCGAACGCACAGAAATACAGTTGACTTCTGTATGTTGATCTTGCGTCCTAAAATCTACTGCATGTCTCAGTGATGGCCATCCATCCAAGGCAGAGGGAGCAAGGCCATGGGTGGGGAACCAGCCTGC